TGTGTCTTGTATGTGGTGGCATTCAAGCGGCGCTTATGTGTGTGCCTGAATGTTAGGTATCGCATGTGAGTATTGGATGGACCGTGTACTCATACTCGTACTCGTGTTGATGGTCTATTTTTCTTCCTCTTTTCATCTCCAGGCTGTTTCTTGAGACGCGGTCTCTGGTTATTTCTATTGTTGTTATTGTTGTTGTACATTGCCTGCCGGCAACCGGTCACGTTTACTACACTGCGAGAAATAGGTGACCGTATAAATAGAATACTTTACAGAGTAAGAGTTTCTTAAAATTGTTACTTTGATCAAATAATTCTTTGAAAATATATAATTTATCCTGATAACAATTTTAAAGTAATTTTAGTTAGAAAAGCTTTCTATTCTTCCAATGAAATACAAATATTTGTATTTCTTTTCATTCCAAAACTACCAAATGCTGTAGATAACCCGCAAGTTTTAATATGAGTTCATATTTCCTGTTTAATAGTTCATAGTTTTCTCTGTTGGCCGCTTGTTGTTTCTGTTGTTGCCAGGGGGAAACCCCTCCCCGGCACCCCTTTAGCTTAAGTGGCCAAGATAGGTAGGCATTGGATTGGAGCAGCTGTGTGTGCTCTATAACTGTAAAAACACGCTCGCCCACTTCCTTAAGAGCCGGCATTTTGACCAAGGCGTCGTTTTGTTTGATTTCTGTTTCATTTCGTTTCGTTTATATTGCCCCGATCCGATCACCATAGTCGTAGCTATATCCTATGTTTGGTATTAGTGACTCCCCCGTGTGTGTGTTAATTTTTAATTGTGCTAAATGTGCACATAAATACACAATAACCGCTAGGAAATAGCATTCACAATAGCCAATCGGCAATTCACAATCCACAATTTTCAATTTCAACACCCACCCATAATTTGGCTTATTTGTGGCTTTTACCCTGCTTGCTTTTTATTTTTATTTGGCCTGATATTGCTATTGTCGTTGGCATTGGATCCCCACAGCTGTCTGGGTGTATATATATATCTGGGTTTGTGCATGACTTAATAGCTGATAAATGCTATATAGCTGATATACCCACACAGATCTCCCTACTTGATACTTTGATACTTTGCACACAATGCAGTTGTCCGGTGGACACTAAAAACCAAGGCAAATAAACTATGTACTATCATCATTGTAGATATTTGAATCCTAGGGTAACAGTATAAATATATTATGTCATTTATTTACTCACTTAACAGGGGCACAGTGACCCATATATGATATGTAAATATTTAGAAATGCATAAAATATAAAATGAACTCTGTCAATGGGAAAGCAAAATAAATATTTAAGCTAACAAAAAGTAATTTTTATGCAAAGCATTTACCAATCAAGAATAAATATTTAAAATCTCTGCAAAAGCAATCATATAAAATCATTATACAGTCTCCATCAGTCTGATATTTTATAATGAAGAGTACTAGATTCTTATGAAATGGCTTATTCATTATGATGATCGACCACTGAATACCATAAAATGTTTATTCCTTGAAGGCATTTAAGCGGTTTTCTAAACAACTGAAAAACTACTTGGGGAATCGACCTTATGATTAATCATTTGGTTTTCTTCACTTGGCTCCGATGATGCGGCTCTTCAAGTGATTTATTTCGCACACGAGCAATAAATATTAAAAATGTTTTAAGTTTATTATTCAACTTTTTCCCCCTTCTCTCTCCCTTTGAGTAAGCCTACCTCAAGCCAAAAATACAATTCCTTTGATGTTTATGTTTAGAACAAAGCGTTTAGTAAATGAGGAAGCATTCCCTAAGCACCATATTTTAAATGATTAATTCATAATCTTTTCTGTACCGACAATGGGTCGTATGAGTAATATGATTTTTGAATTTAATATTCATTGAAGTTTAGATTTTGTTATCCGTGCCAATCTGCAGTCATACATATTTTATTAATCTTTTCACAATAAACATTTTGGCGCAGCAATATTTCTGAAGCGTCGGCAAAAGGTGGCAGAAGAAGCGGGTGGTGGCACCCAATTTGGCAACCACGGATGTATGTGGCATGTGGCAAGAGTCTTCTTCACTGTTCTGTTCCTTTATTCTCTCGCCTGCAGATGCGGTTGCCACAACTTCTTCTGCCTTTGCTGGCTGAGCAGTGTTTATGTAGCTGGAAGATGCTGGCTCATGATTCTGCGAATGGCGTGAACTTTTCCCCCAGCCCCAAAGTTTTTCTAGCCCCCCCTTTGGAGTCCCGCTGTGATTTTAGATTGCTCCAGTCCAACCGTATGTTTGTGTTAACAGTCAAAAGTATTTGCTCTGGGGAACGTGAACATTTCCTTGGCTTTTCTAACAATTGAATAAAATAATAAGAATCGGAGCCGGAAAATCAAGAAAATGTAAAACACTTTAGTTAGTTTATTATGTGTAAATAATATAAAAATAGAAATTAAATTAATTAAAGTGGTGAGAGGATTTGTTTAGTTTAAATTTAGTTTAATTTTATCTTAGTGAAATATTAAAAGGTGTGTTATTTTATGTTTAAAAATCAATCTGCAGATTGTAAGTAAATGTAGGTAAGGGTAGACCTTGGAAATATAGGTATGAAAATTATATAAAATATCATTTATTTTTATTAGCTTACTTAAAGTTAAAGACTTAAGTTATAGTTTTTTAAGAACTTTTTACTTATAAGTTAGAAAAGTTTTTCTTTTGTTCATAAAATTAACGTAATTAAAGATATTTAAAGGAGAACTTCAATTTTAAGCACTTGAAAAACATAATAAATTCCCAAATCACACTCCCTAATTGTTATTAACTTAACCCGGTTTCATTCATTAAAAACAAATTCTATAATTAATCGTCCAATTATAAAATTAAAATGGGTTATCATACACAAAATCGAATAAATCAATTTATAGTTGCAACGATAATAAGCCAATAAACTATATTATTTCATTGATAAATTATCAGTTTCACATAGATACAAACGCACACCTATGCAGGCAGCTAGGCAGCTGTGCGAATGTGAGAATTTAACACGAATGTAAGCTTTCTGGTTCATTGCCTACTTTCAGGCAGCAGCTGCTCTGTGCCGTGAGTTGAGCCTAAAAGCAGGCAATTGTGTCACCGAAAACCTGAAAACCAAATTAAAAAGATTTAAATTTGGAAAACAAGCAAAAATAATTCAGCAACTGATTTACGAGCCAACTGGGACTGCTGTACTACATTGTCTTTTGTACTTAAATTCCCAGCGATTCGTTTATACATACATATACTCGAATGTGGAAACATGTGGGCAGTTATTAAGTGCTTAAAATATGCATGCTTTAATTGCAAAACAGCTGCTGTGGAGCCTTTTCAAAGCTGCATTAAACTTCACTTAACAGCACTCGAACTTTAGAGATAGTCCGATACAATCTGATGACTCGCATAAAGTGGCAAATCGGAAGCGAAACAAATTAAAATGCCACTAAAAAACGAACAAAAATATGGTAAAAAACCCCACACACGACACTCGATCTTTTTTGAATCGCTCATTAGGCGCGAACAAAGAGACAATGTCTGGTCACCGTTTTCGTCACCGTCATCATCGCCTTCGCGTTTGATCAGCTCCGTCAAAATGAAATCTGCTCGTAGAACGCGCTCACCTCTTCAAACAAAGCATCACCCAAACACCTGAGCTCAGGTGTCGCCTTTGTTGCGTTTGTTGCTTGTCTATTGTTGACTTGACACCCGGTAGTTGCAAAAATCTCAAAATGGGGCGTATAAGGCGGGTTGAGATTATGCTACAGGAAGGGTAACAAACTGATTGGAATCCATATAAGATTGAGATCTGTATAAGGCCTGTCTTCATGCCTATATTTCCTGAAGAACTCAATATATTGACGTCTATAAAAGGTGGATGAACCTTATGTGAAAAAAGGAATATAAAGTGATTAAGTTGAATATGGTAACTGGAGAATTGAGAAATGTTTAGATTTTTAAAGACATATTTAAAGGGAAAAGCCAGAGCAAGATTAAGCTTAAACAGTCACACTGCATAGTAAGAAAACACTAAGAATCTGATTTGTAATTTGAAATGTATTCTGTAAACCCCCTTTAAAGGGTATCACATAGTCAAATCTAAAATCCCAGTCAAGTTCTATCGATTGTGGTGATGTTTGCATGCCGGTGTAAAACAGTCACACTGCATAGTAAGAAAACACTAAGAATCTGATTTGTAATTTGAAATGTATTCTGTAAACCCCCTTTAAAGGGTATCACATAGTCAAATCTAAAATCCCAGTCAAGTTCTATCGATTGTGGTGATGTTTGCATGCCGGTGTAAACTGGAGAATTGAGAAATGTTTAGATTTTTAAAGACATATTTAAAGGGAAAAGCCAGAGCAAGATTAAGCTTAAACAGTCACACTGCATAGTAAGAAAACACTAAGAATCTGATTTGTAATTTGAAATGTATTCTGTAAACCCCCTTTAAAGGGTATCACATAGTCAAATCTAAAATCCCAGTCAAGTTCTATCGATTGTGGTGATGTTTGCATGCCGGTGTAAACGCTAATTTGTTAAATGAGCTGTTGATGGTCGCTCGCGATGGCTAATTAGACCGATTTCCGATGCATAAATTACGAAAGTAACGTTTTCAACTCCCTAGCCCAACCCCCTCACCACTCCACCTGGAAAAGGGCTAATTTACATAATACTTGTTTTGCTACACCCACGCAGTCAGCTGGCGATGAACACATGTTGCCATAATACATAATACAAGCGGCTCAAAGCGTGTGGAACGCGATGATGAAGTTAATACGCTAAATTGGTCAAAACAAACGAAACGAGCAAAGTCGAATGTCGAAGCCACTCAGCATGGCAGCAACAGAGAGAGAGAGTGAGAGAGAGACGGTGACAGTTTTTCTGAAAGAGACAGCAAGAGCGAGAGGGCAGAGCCGCAGAAATTCTAGTGATCCGCGTAATAACTGAAGTTGGTCGCTCAGTTGCTCAGCGGCTGTTGCCAGCGTCGGTTCGGTGGATCAGCGATCGTGGATCGCCCGTGGATTTTGGCCCGTCGTTCGCCAAGGTTAATTAGCCAAGATCCGAGATTGGATATACGAGATTCGAGATACGAGAGAGAGATCGAAGATCACCATCGATAAGTGATGTCGTTTTTTCGCAATATACGCTCCTCCCTGTCCTCTTCTTCGCGGGCCAAGACCTCTCGCTCCTCGTCCCGCGACACGACACCAGTACGCTCCGGATCTCGTCCAGGCAGCGTGATCAGCGGTGTGGGATCCGTGGGAGTTACCAGTCGACGAGATTCGACAACCAGTTCAACCTTACAGCGTGGAGATACCTTCATACTGCCTAATTCAGAAGAGGAGGCGGGGACACCTTCGTCGAACACTTCTACCCTGGAGAAGAAGTCGAAGAAGTCCAAGGTCTTTAGCAAGTTTAGCACCTTTACCAAGCGGAAGAAGACTCCATCACCCGAGGAGGTGGCCAGCTATGAGCATCATCCCAGCGACACGGCCACAAATACCTACTACAAGTGGCGCAGTGATGGAGCAGATCGTCTCCAGGACTACGATGCTCAATCGGATCCCTTCAACTTCCTCTACGAACAGCACTCCAATCGCAGAGCTCTGCAATCTGGTGATTCCAGTGGGGTCAACCGGCAGTCCAGCATTGGCTCCAACTCCAGTGGAAGCTTTGATTCATCCACCTATCGTAAGAGCAAGACACCCACGCATCTGCGAGAGCAGCTGGAGCAGCTGAAAACCCACTCGAACGATGATCTTCTGGAGGATCAGCAGCGGGAGGAGGACGAGCGTGAGAAGTACAAGACAGTGACTCTGAATAGCTTCAGGAAATCCTTCAGAGATCGCTTGCTGCAGCAGCAAAAGGAAGCCCCTCACAATCCCGCCTGGTTTGTGGAAGTTCCCACCCAACCTGCGCCCACGAAACCCATGGAACGTCGTGAATCCAAGGAGAACCGACCTGATTTCCTGGTCTTCGATAACGAGAACTACCGCCCCCAATCGCGTTCTCCTCTCCGGGATCGTCCCTCCCGTTCCGCCACCCGCTCGCCAGTGAAACGAAACGAGACCTTCCGGGTCACCCAGCCTACAGTGCGTCATATGTCACCCTCGCCAGTGCCCACACCTGCTCCCTCCATACGCATCGAGATCAAGAACTCCATATCACCCCATTCACCCGGGAGATTTGTGCCCGTGGGGGTGGCCAAGCCAATGCCTACTACGGAGTACTATGCTCAGAGATTACTGGCCAATAGGACTAGCATGAGCCCAAGCCCAAGTCAAAACCAAGGCTCTCGATGGTACCGCCAGCAGAGTTCACCTACCAGGATGAGTGTGGGTCACCAGCAGCAGAATACCCACCCTAGTCAGCAGCAAAAGGGAGGTAGAACCCTGGTGCACATAGGATCCGATCAGAGTAAGACGATGATGCCACCAACCAGAGGAAGGGCGCCCACAAGGGTCCAGCTATATGGCAATAAACCGCAGAGTCGACCGCAGCCAACGACCTACTTTGGCGGGCACTACAATGCACCTGTTAAGCCCAACCCTCGGGCGTCATCCAGTGGTGGAGTACCCACCGTTTATTTGGGGCGTCGCGAACCGCCAATGATGACACGTGCCACCACCGCCGCCAGTAACACCGCCCACATAGCCGCCCCCATGCCACGTCGCAACCGATCGCCGATCAAAATGCCCTGGCGGTAGGCGTTAACCGAATATATATATAGCATGACATATCGGCAATTGAGAATGGAGAATCGAGAACGAGGGGATAGCGTATATAGCAGTTCTTTCCAAAGTGACAAAGTCGGTTAGGATATTGCGTCACTATCAGAGCTGGGAGTTCAGCTTTGCTGACGCTGGTTTTGCCCATCGATAATGGGCAAATAAATGATTTCTGTGTATCCATCAGACCGAACAATTCGTATCGTGTGTTGTGAATTTTTTCTACCTAAAATTATTATTGTTAAGTAAATAAAAAAATAAGCGACAGCAGATAATGCAAAATGTGAAATCCGACGGGGAACTTTTCAGTTTTTTGTTGTTAACATTTTTAATGGCTTTAACGAACCCGAAAAAGCACTCGGGACTTCTACTATACGGAGAGTGTTAATTGTCAGTTTGGCCAGTTGACCCCAAAAAGAGTGCTCCGAACTTGTCAGATATGAGTGCTCTGGAAAATGTAGTTAGTTCAACGCGTTGGATATACGGTCTATACGGTCTCTGTATGACTAACTGCGCATGAAAATGAGCGAGCGTTACGTGACAGGCATTAAATATGGTCACTCGATGGGGTTGGGGTGCCGGGAACGTCTAGTTAGAAAGCAGCTGATGAGCTCTTGGCCATATTTGGTTTAGAAAACAAAATGTATTCGTACTCGCACGCAAATTATGGAATAATATGGTCATGAACCAAGTCAAATGGTGATGTCAACAGTCTATCTATGCGATTCTTGACATTATCGCTTTTGGAATGCACTATCATAGGAATCAAGTTGAGATCTTTGTGACCATATATATCAGGAAATTTACTTTTACAAGCACTTTGACCTTTTAGAGATTAGGGCATCTTTACAAAACTGCTTCTGGATTAAAAGATCTTCTTTCCAATTTTTGATTTTAGAGCCTTTCTATGCGCTTCTCCTAAGTTTTACTTAAGTAGTGAAAATGATAAGAAAGCCATTCACTTTTATAACAACTTTTGAGAAATAATAATAATTTTAAATATTTAATTAAAAGACATTCTAAAGCAAAGATGTACCTGGATGCTGCTTCTAAATTAAGCTTGTTTTGATGACTCGGCAACTTTCCTGCTGTTGCCATTAAGTTAATAACGTCCGTTCTAGTGGCTTTGCTTCTATCAAAAATGATTCTTAAAAGTAAAAAACATTTTCTATTTTAAGCTCACTAACTGATGTCATTTGGTAATGCGATTTTCTTATATATTTCTTAAGAGAGAGAGAGGGAGGGAGACTGATTGTTTGAAATGGCCAAAACATAAACTGAGATTTCGCTGTCCCCATCCGTCTTCTGGCTGTCCGCTAATTAGTGGATCATTGCCCCAGTCTAACTTCAGCTTAACTCGCCGCACATTTCACTTTCTAATCTGGCAGCAACGAGGCCAGCAAAAGACTCGTCTTTTTGTTTTAAGAAGCAAGAGGCAAGATCATAGAGACTTCTTTGGTCAGTGCAACTACAGCTTTACGCATGATCTTGAACTAAATTAGTCGCAGTTGGCGACGCACTTTGTCTGGCCAGATTTTCAGTTGCCTTAATGTTTGCGTTAACTAGAGTGTGAAAATCACAAACTTTGCAAATGTAAGTTAAAACGCAGATTAACCTTGCCTTTATGGCTGGGATCTTGGCGCTACTTTGCGTGGGTCTACCAAACAGGTTGAAATCAGTGCCTGAATCATCATCATCATAGCCAGTAAATAGCATCGGGCTAATTCGTGATCGTTGTTGGGTCGGAGGTTCCCTCAGCTCACTCCCCCAGAAAAGTTCACTTGTTCCGTCTGTGAATTTGTTAACTTGGCTTGTATTTTCGGTAATTTGGCTTAAGTGTGTCGGGTTTTCGGGTTTCTCACTTTTTTCATTCGGGTTGAGTTTTGCAATAAACAAACACTTACTGTTCTGTTGCCTGCGCTTTAAAGTTATACTATATAAGCCAGAGTGTATGTTTTTATACTACGCATAGATTCATTTCCAAGTAACCGAAGACCGGTTTTCTGCTTCTCTTTTTCTGTTGCTGCCGCCAACTGAGACGGCGACCTACGGATTTTAGTACCTCTTAGCGGTTTCTTTCGGTCTGGGCATTTTGGTTTGCCATAAAAAAGGTGCTAATTGTGGGGAAAACCTGTAAGTAAAAGGTATATTAAAAAAGTTTATGAATAAAAGAAGGTTCTGATTGGTTTTATTTAGTGAAGTTTTAGAAGTTTTTACCACTTTACACTTTTTGGCAAGAGGTCTAGAGTTGGCCAGTAATCGTTTTAAACATTTAAACGTGTGTTCAAAGTTTTTTTAAGAAATCAAAATATTTTCATAATATAAGATTTTCACATATTTTAAACTTTAAAATTTTTAATTTGTTTTAATTTGTTTTAAATTTGTTTAAGAAACTTAATTGAGAATAAAGTAAAGTTGTTATAAATAACAATAATATATTGTTTTGACTGATTTTACCTGTCTAACTGGTCTATTCTAGAAAGTAATACTATATTTTGTTTCAAACTTCATCCTAAATTGCTTGTACTAAATCACAATTTGGCAGCACTGCGTATGAGTGATTTTTACATTTATCTAAAAACGATCTTTTAGCCATTGTTATTGACTCTTAGGTACTACCTAGTCGAGTTATAAACTCAAAAATTACCAATTTTGGTGCAGACAAACAGTCACAGCCGGTGGCATAGCGTCATTGTTCGAAAATGTGCTGGCTGAACGAACTTTGATTCGGATATGTATATTTTTTTCAGATATTTTGCTATAAATTTCGCTCGGCTGTGCCAGAATTTTTAGCACCGAGTGGGAGTTCCCCAGTGAGTGGGCTTAACAGAACTGGACTAGCCACTACTACTATCACAGTCTGTGCTAAATTTTACAAGACTGCCAGCCAAAAAAGGCAATTGCAGCATAATTTTCCTCTTATATCGCAAAGCGAACTCGACTCATGTTTATTTATAACAGAGATTATGATAATTAAAATGAAATTGGTTCACAGTCGACCAAGATGGGACATGACATCATGGATTCAGATGAGATCTTGGAGGAGGAATACAAATTGGATGTATAATCTAAGCATTACATTAAATCCGTTTGTGTTTAATATCAAATTACAGCCGCATAACATTGTGTGAAACTTTCCCCATCATGGATTTATTGACATAACCATTCGTTTAATTGGCGACACATTAATCTTTGCACACACACACAGAGACAAAGACAGAGAGAGAGAAAGGGAGTAAAAAGGATGAGGAACCATCAAAGTCAAAGCGGAAGACAAAGCGGCGACCCGACTAAGTGGAAATCAAACATTTGCCGAACAGCGGGGCAAGTTGCAACTTAATGCCAATAATATCCGCGCGTCAGGCGCAAATGTTTGTCCTGTCTGTCGTGCCCCCTCCTGTACTCGAATTCGCATTCACCCTTAGTCCCCTTACCGGCCCCCCTGTCATTGTCTCACTGGCATTTTATTCCGCCGCTTTGAACTGGGTCAGCATCGATTTTTGGCCAGCGACGTGTCACAATTATCGCTGCCAGCAATGGATTCGATGGCACCCAAATGGCTGTTCTTCTATGTTAAAAAAAGGCTAGGAAAGAAGGATGATGTATGCCGAATAAAGGATACCTGGGAGAGTGTGTGTACTGCTTAAATTGTGTTGCCTACTTTTGGGGAGCTGTACCTTAAAGGCGGACTTCTTGCGAGAACAATTTTGAAGATCGTGACAAAACCCTAAAGACTTACGTTTTTTTGATTTCTTTATATCGTATTTAAATATGAAAACTTTGTAAATTAAAGATACCAACTAACACACACCTATTAAAGCATCGATTAATAAAAACAAAAACTAATTGATAAAAATGCTAAAAGAATACTTATAAGTACGAATTGTTACATAAAGAACATCCTATCTAATATCCCCCTAAACCAAGTTGAGTGCACTGAGAGCAGGGCAGGACATCCTGAATACTAATGCGCCGGGTCAAAGCTATGAAAAGTCAAGTCTCGTGTTTATTGGCAAGCGTTGAGGATTATATACACGAGCATAGCCAGTCGGCTGAAAAAGAACCAAAATATTTTTTACTGCAGTCCTCATCGCGGATGAGGCGAGCCCCAAAGACAAAGGCAAGTTGGCCGAAAAATGGAAGCGTGCCAAGTGCAATTTTGCTTCCTCTGTTTTGTTTGTTGGCCTGGCTGGCTCAGCGTGCGTGTATTTTTGGAACAAGTGCAACATCCAAGCCACGGCAGCAAACAGCTACTGCAACTGCAACTGCCACTGCCACAACCAGATCAACCTAGCTCGCTTCCCTTTTTTTGGGCTTAACTCTTGGCATGTGGCATCGGTTTGTTCCACGGTTTTCTTTGGATCCCCCGGCAGCTGGCCAACAGCGATTTCCATGCATTTGCATCCGGAGACCGGCCATTTCGGATATAGCATGGCCAGGAGAAGGAGCACATGGAATTGTTTGGCGCAATGGCGCGTAAATGAGCAGGGTACAAATTAAGTTGTACAATCGTAAATCGGTTTTGTCTGGGCGCCTTGTTCCCCCGTTTGTCGTCCCCCAACCCCTCTTTTAGCTTGTTTTTTGAGGTATTAAAAAAGGGGTGTTCTGCCAAGTAGATAATGCATATACTAGTATGTAGTTCTTGGCAACCGAATAATAAACTTGAAGTGCAAAAAGGGATGGTTATCTAAATGCATTTAAATTATTGCTATCCTGGTACTTTTTAAGGAATATTTCCTGTAACTTAGATGATTTGCTTTTAAAAGAGTTTTAATTACAAGGCTCGCTTTTTTGCATTTAATATTTTAGGGGAAAGAGTAACTAGCTAGTAACTGTGGCCATCGACTGCTGGCTTTGTTTTCATTAACACAGAAAATAAAATATTAAAATTTAAATGCAAAAAGATGCAAAAAAATGCTTTAGAACCATAAATCATTTTAATGTGCATTCTTTACCTCCCTCTTCTCATAATTATTCCTAATCTTGCTAAGTATTTGGTTTTCATAAATCACTTAAAAATAAACACACGAATTAAGCATTTGAGTTGGAAAGTAATTTACAGGCTGATCAGCATACAATTTTATAAATACAAAAATAAAAACATTTTTAATTTATTTTAAAGTAAAGTTTACATGTAAGGTAAGGTGAAATGTATGTGAGAAAATTAAACAATTAAAGGTAAATGTGGGATAAGACCTGGTTTTAGTTTCATTTCGAATATGATTATGATTATGTCTCCTAATTAATTTTTAATGTTTTGATTTTCCTTACT